TTTTATTTATGGCAAAGCTGCATGATCACTATTTGTCTATAGGTTTATTTTACGATTTTGATTTACAAGTAGGCTGTGACAGAACAAACTGTTGACAACTATCTACATGTATGACAGCCTTTGTTGGTCCCATCAAGGCTGAAGTTTGTACAACACCTGTACAATTGAGCCAAGAATGTCCTGTTTCCATTCACACGGTGTCTGCTACTAGGCCCTTAGTCATGATCAGCCTACAGTGAGGTCATGGGGGTGGGGGGTGGCCAGAGTCAAAGTACATGGTTGCAGTTCTTATTGCCAGTACACTGATGTAAGTATATCAGGCCTGCAAAACATAAGCGAACCTACCCTGACACAATTGGTTGAGCATTAGTGAACTTCCCCTGACACAGTTGGGATAGCAGCGCATGTAATACATTACCTGGCCTACAAATAAAACATAAGTGAACCTCCTTTGACACGGTTGGAATAGCATATAGCATCAAGTAAGGGGTCTGAATACATCAGTAATATCCCTGACTAGAGCTGTGTACCTAAACAAATTTTAGGTACAGGTACAGGTATAGGTACAAAGGTTTAGGTACAGGTCCGGACCTGAACCTGTACCTGAACAATTTGACCAATTTATTTGCTCTTCTGAACTCCTTCAATAACAAAAAAAAATTAATTAACTTGGTAGTTAAGGTTTATTCTTTGTTTATGGCGAATGCTCAGATAAAATATAGGCAAAACTAAGATGTTTTTGTTTTCATGAACACACTGTCCTTACACAGGGACCCATTGTGGACCAGCTATTTACACATTTGAGGTCACAAATAGGCATAAAATTGGTGTGAAATTGTTTAGGTACAGTACCGGTACTGAGGGATTAGGTATTTTGGACCTGTACCTAATCAATTTGACACAGCTGGTCTAGAAGTGCATCAAATCGTGGGACTGGAAAACATTAGTGTACCGCGACCATAAATTGTAGGACATTCATTTTTTAGTGAACAGCCTCTGACAATTTGTCTAGCAGAGTATCAAATACTAGTATAGAGACCCTACCAAAACATTACTGAACCACCCCTGACAGTTGGTCTAGCAGAGTATCAAATAGAGACTCTACCAAAACATTACTGAACTACCCCTGACAATTTGTCTAGCAGAGAACAAATAGAGACCCTACCAAAACATTACTGAACCGCCCCTGACAGTTGGTCTAGCAGAGTATCAAATAGAGACCCTACCAAAACATTACTGAACCGCCCGACAGTTGGTCTACATGTAGTAGAGGATCAAACAGGGACCCTACCAAAACATTACTGAACCGCCCGACAGTTGGTCTGGTTACTATCCAAAATTCATGACCCTAGCATGTCCAGATTGCGAGATATCAAGACCACAAGTTCCGCTGCAGTATCAAGGGAAGCCACTAGGGGGCCAAAAATCTCATCATTTCTAGATTTCGTCACACCCTACGGACCCATCTAGTATGAAATCAATCCATCCAGCCGTTCTTGAGTTATCTTTTTGACTAAATTTAATTCCCTAGGGAGTGAATTCGTGGCATTATTATAATATATTTTTCATCGCAATCGCAGTACTATACCAACGGCTCCGCCCCGAAGGCGTCGCCAAAAAGGATTACCGAGTCGCAACGGCTAACAACTAGACCTGTGTGTGGGGGGGGGGCAGTTTCTCTCCCCGACGAGCAATACTTTATCAACGTACTCCTCGCTACTATCTATTGCTACAATCAGGCGAGAGGACACCGTCTTTACACGTTGTTTGTTATAGACACTCTATCCGGTATCAAATCAAGAAGTGTGCACAAAAACTTCATACGCCTTCGAATAATTTCGATCACTCAGTCTGTCTACTCTGCTGTTACAGCTTCGTTCCTACGTACCTGAATCCAAGGACCTTGCTGAAAGGGATCTCGGATGAAAAACTCGGCCTTGATGCTGAAACTGATTTCTCCGCAAATATCGCCAAAATATCAACAAAGCTGCGAACTCACGAAGCCTTCAGACAGTCTCTCGCGCTGCACAGCGTCTCGCCTGAACTGAACTTTTGCAGGCCGCAGAACACATGTATTCATCCGCGACTCAAGAACCCAGATCAGATGGTATAAAAATTTACTCTCCAAGTAGAGGTTTGGGTTATTTTTGAAAATTCGAAGGATCCCCATAAAAAAAAGACCGGCCGGGAACGCCTAAAAGGAGGACAGGAATGCATGCCTGTCGGCAATATTGTCGACCGCAATATACGCATTGCAGTACTGTTTACACCTGAAAGGTGTCGCTGTGAGACCGTCTCTCAATTTGCCTCATTTTCATAACTTTCTTACTTCAGCACCAAGGACAGGGATAGCGAATGATACTACATGGCAGAAAACCGTCTCGAACGCTAAAGCTGGGGATGATACCAAATATTTTTGAGTGGAAGCAAATTCTTTAGCAGCAAGGGAAGGGGGTTAGATTAACAGGGTGGCCTTCAGCTGTAAGGAAGGAGGGGAAATGGTACACAATAGCACAGGTTGGGGGGAGGCTAAATGTACCTCAGCACAATGTGTAACGAAAGAAGGCTACAAAATCGTTGTTTAGGCCTCACCAATTTAATTTGTTGTTTCTTGGATTCGCCCTGTCCATTTTTTTCTGATTTGCCAAAAAAAAAAGAGTTTTTTTGTTCTAAATCAACTGCAAAATGCTCAATTTTGGCCCCAACGGTTGAAGAAAGTCCTTTTCTTCCTATCTAGCTACAATGTAGTTGTTAAAGTTTTTCAATGTAACAGTGCAATTTTGTTTCATATATAATATAAAAATCTAATGTTTTAATTCATGGCTCATACTGTAACATTTCCGGCTATCACAGAGTGCCATGGCCTGTCTTTTTATTCATTTCGCCCTGTTGCTTCATATTTGTTCTGCAAAAATCTAAGAAACAACATATTAAATTGGTGTGGCCTTATCTTTTAACATCAAAGTGTCCTTACTCAACTACTGTAAATGCATTTATGTTCCCGAGGACTTTTTTTTGTGGTATCGGCAAATTTGAGAGTTTGCGAGGTATTCGACTTCGCGAATCCGATCAACTACTAGTATATGGACATTTCAGGCAAGAAACGAGATGATCCAAGACAAGACCATCTTTATTACATGTACATCACTAATAACTGTACATTTACAACCGCTAAACTACTGAGGAGAAACAGTGGTACAAGTATATAGAGTAAAACTGTTCTCTAGACATGGCAACAAATTGAACTTGAGAGCTCATACCAGAAGAAACTGTATGTCACATTCTGAGGAATAGTGATTAAATCTTAGGCCACAGCAAGTAAATTTTATGGATGACATCCTCCACAGACTCCAAATCTTATGCGAGCGGGCGAGAAAAAAACAAGGCGGGCCGACAAAAACAACGTTCCTACATTTTAAAATTTTGACTCAATCATTGTACAAATGGTTTTGATGTTCAGAGGGAACATCACATATACACAGCCAACATCACATATCACTGCATCAAAGTAAGAAATAAAACATAGAAATCAGAGCCTTTTCTAGTCTCCTCTTTTCATAGTTATCTGCCATACACCTTTCAGCATCTTTGTCCATTTTTTGGCATCTTGACCACTGTCAGAAGGCGACGAAATTTCTTGTTTTTTCCCAAAATCAGGCGAAAATTAATGCATGCGCTGATGTCATCCATAAAAATTACTTGTTGTGGCCTTAGTCCCAAGTACAACAGAAATGACCCTGTCCTGGAGGCATTGTTAAAGGTCAGCAAAGTGCATGGGAAGTTTTTGTTTACTTCAGAGAAAACGTGTTCATAAGAAAATATCAATATCTAAAAGATTTTCAACAGAATTGGCTTTCTTCATCATCATTTTGTGGCTTTAATGGGGCTAAATGTTAATATATTGCCATGTATAACATGGAATATACTTGGACTTTTTATTCCATTTCTTGAGGACAGTGAAACCATTCAGAAATTTAAAAACACTGGTCTTACATGTCATTGAACAATTTTCAAAACAAGACCTGTGATTTAGCCATATGAAATATTAGTCACTATTGAATATGCTTCAAAAACCACTACTTGGGTGCTACCATCTTTTGTCATGCAGAGGGAGTTGGGGGTCATAAATATCATAATAAAAATTGTTTTCACGATTTTCCTGTTTTTTTTAGAGTTTTTTTTCGAATGACATGAAATGGATATGTGGAATGCATGGTAGTGCACCCAAATCACTACTCAATATACAAATTGGGTCTGACAATTCATGGATTTAAAAACTTACTTGGAATGATGATTGAACTTCTTGGCCAAGCTTCTATAGAACCAGAAATACAGCTTAACATTTTCTTGCCATCTTATTAAAGGCATCCAATGCGATTTCAGAGCAGCAAAACTAGAAATATTCTGAATAAGGCAATCTTTATGATATTGACACATACTGCTTCACATTAGCACATTTGAGTCAGCATTTCATAATTTGGGCATTTAAAACTGCAGACACAAGCCCTAAGATGAGTCCTTTATTTTAAGGGTGGTACCCTAAAATCAACCAAGGGCCCTTCCAGTAACCATTTTATGTCAGAATTTTTGGTATTTTTGCTCCACGAGGGTCAATATACATTGGGATAGTTGTTTCAACTCAGTGTGTGGATAAGTGACTAGAATATTGACTTTGAAAAGCCCTAAAAACTACACTGGATGCCTTTGATGATACACAGCCTATGTCACAATGACAAGAATCATAACTAATGAATTTTAACTAGATTTGAATGCTTGAAAATTATGAACCAATTCATATACACACACATCACTGCTATCATTATCTGTAGTACTGGTTTCAAATTGAAAAAAAACAACATTTGTATTACCAAAATTAAAAAAAGGTGACCAGTTATATGTTGAATATCATAAATAATCATAGCCAGTAGCATCTGACCAATATAATAACTAATATGCTCTGGTATATCATAGTAAAACCTATGCTACTCAGACAACTCAGATCACACTTTTGAGATGTAGAGACATGGTAAGGCCACGCCAATTCAATTTGTTGGTTCTTGGATTCGCCTCTTAATTTTTTTCTGATTTGCCAAAAAAAAGATTCTGGTTCTGAATCAACTCAAAAATGCTCATATTTTGCCCCCAACAGTTGAGGAAAGTCCTTTTCTTCCTAGTTGATACAGTTTTTCTATCAATCAATGCAGTAGTTTACTTCAAAGTTCAAATTTGATTGTTTCAATATTAACCCAGCCTTTTGTGTTGACTTCATGGCTATACTAGTATTTGGGGCTATAATAGGATCCCTAGACCTGTTTTTATTTTTAATTGTTTTCCCCCCTGTCGCTTCATATTTTTCTTAAAAGATCCAAGAACTAACAAATTAAATTGGTGTGGCCTAAAGTTTGCAATTCTAACTAGTACACTTTAACTATAGTCTGTATATTAAAGGTGATTCATTGTATAGCCATTAAAACTCCTACAATAGACAATGTCAACAAATATTAACAT